CCTTAAGACTTGTACCCAAGTGCTTTTAAGTGCAGTATTTGCAATAATGTGTGGTATTTTGGAGCAGCATAAGATAATCCAATCCTGGTTTGTGACTTTTTTAAATTGTTAAAGTGGATTAGCTATTGTAAAATGTTATTTTCAAATGTCCTATACTTGAGTGAAATACATTTTCAATGAGCTTGCACACTATACTTTGTTCAATATTCACTTGAATATTACCTTGAAATTTTGATTATCTAAGGCATTTACAAGCAAAAAGTGAACTATCTTCAATACCAGATGAATTAATGTCTGCCCAAAAAAAAAACGACTGCTTCGTAGCATCTCCAATTACGTCCTGCAAAAAATGCCATTTTACCATTGGTATTTGGTTTACTGACTGCTCCATGAAAAGTTTGCATGGATATGGAAGTTGCTTTCAAGATGGGCATTTATTGCCTATCCATGGTTGTCCTTGAAATAGAAGTGAGCTTTTTCTGGCAATTTGCTAAAAGTGCTCCCAAAAGTTTTGGGTACAGATGTCCTCTGCTGGTGTATGACTTAGAGGAAACCTAGAGATGCTGGAATTTGAATCCAGCTGTTGCTGTGTCCATCTGTATGTCGAAAGTCTCAAGTTCCAAGTGTTCTAATGTAGAAATAATGACAACTTGCTGCAATGTATGCAGTATATTGTATACAATGTGCTGGCAACAGAAAGTAATGGTGGATTTGAATGTTTAACCCCGTCAAGCAGATGATTTTATGCTGACTTCAGAAAGTAAGCTTAATTGTTGGAACTTAATCCCACCAAGGAGTGTATCTAATAGTGTTTTTGACCTATACCTTTATAGGTGATAGAATTTAATGGAGAGTACCCGTCCACTGATCTGCATCAGTAATTGTGGCATTTTATGTAGCTGGTTCACCCTGATTGGAGGGTGGCAGATATCATTCCCTTGTTCAAGAAAGGGAATAGGGATAATCCTGGGAATTACAGTCCAGTCAGTCTTACTACTTTGGTGGACAAATTATTCGAGAGGATTCTGAGAGACAGTATTTATGATTATTTGCAAAAACACAGTTTGATTAGAAATAGTCAGCATGGCTTTGGTAGAGGCAGGTCATGCCTCACAAGCCTTATTGAATTCGTTGAGGATGTGACAAAACACATTCAAGGCAGAGCAGTGGATGTGGTCTATATGGATTTTAGCAAGGCATTTGATAAGGTTTCCCATGGTAGGCTCATTCAGAAAGTAAGGAGGCATGGGATTGGGGAAAAATTGGTTGTCTGGATACAAAACTGGCAGCCCAATAGAAGACAGAGGGTGGTAGTAGATGGAACGTATTCAGCCTAGAGCTCGGTGACCAGTGATGTTCCACAAAGATCTGTTCTGGGACCTCTGCTTTTTGTGATCTTTATAAGTGACTTGGATGAGGGAGTGGAAGGGTGGGTTGGTAAGTTTGTCGATGACATGAAAGTTGGTGGAGTTGTGAACAGTGTGGAGGGCTGTTGTAGGTTGCAACGGGACATTGACAGGATGCAGAGCCGGGCAAAGAAGTGGCAGATGGAATTCAACCCAGAAAAGTGTGAGGTGATTCATTTTGGAAGGTCGAATTTGAATGCAGAATACAGGGTTAACGGCAGGATTCTCGGCAGTGTGGAGGAACAGGGATTTTGGGGGTCCACGTGCATAGTTCCCTCCAAGTTGGCACCCAAGTTGGTAGGTTTGTTAAGAAGGCGTATGGTGTGTTGGCTTACATTGGCAGGGGCATTGAGTTTAAGAGCCGTGAGGTTATGCTTCAGCTCTATAAAACCCTGGTTAGACCACACTTGGAATATTGTGTTCAGTTCTGGTCACCTCATTATAGGAAGGATGTGGAAGCTTTAGAGAGGGTGCAGAGGAGATTTACCAGGATGCTGCCTGGACTGGAGGGCAGGTCTTATGAGGAAAGGTTGAGGGAGCTAGGGCTTTTTACATTGGAACGAAGAAGGATGAGAGGTGAGTGGATAGCCAGAGACTTTTTCCCAGCCGGAAATGACCATATAATTTGATTATTTGAATCTAAAACAAATAGGGCTGATATGGGATATGTACAAAATGCACCGTTAGCTTAAGAATCCTTGTGCAATTTTACTAATACTGCAATTTAGATGGTAAATGCAGACTGGACAGAGTCAAATAATTCTGTGTTGGTACTGTAAAATAGATAGCAGTTGACTGTTTGTTTGTTTTTGTGTGTTTTGGGGCCTAATGTTTGGTTCCTTTGGTTTTAGTCAAAGTATTGGTTTTATGGGTATTGCAGTTTCTATTTTAAACAATTGACAAATGCTAATTTTGTTGCATTGTGTAACTTTTTTTTTTCCCTCTCTTTTTCTCTCTGTTTAGCACATTGAAGCCTGTTTGTATGGGTTTCAATCTATTGCAGAAACCAATGATGTCAACTATTCTGATGTTATTCCAGGCTTGATTGGTCTTATTCCAAGGATAAACATTAGCAATGTGCAGCTAGCTGACACTGTGATGTTTACTATAGGTAAATGGCTTTACTTTATTGAAAATTGCATGCATGTATTCTCTAAACAGTGGTAGGATTTGTCTGTTCTAAATCTGATCTAAAAATGTCCCAGTGAAGATGACATGTCAGACAATGCAGTATGCACTGAGTTGTACTGCAAGTGTCACATCGGATATATGCTCAAGTCTGAGTGAAACATGAACTTTGTCTTGGACTGGGGTGGGGGATAGCTACAATTTGATAAGATTGCTGAATGGTGTTGAAGTAAATAAAGATTAAATTTTAAAGATCATTTAACAAATTCACTTTTCAACATTGGTTGTCACTGGTGGACAGTAGTCAACAAAGTGTAATGAACTATAAAGCCAAAACCGAGAGGACAAATTGCAGGAAGTCATGCTAAAGCCATCCAACATGTTCAACAAACTTTCACCTTCAAATGCCCATTTCAGCTTGCTCATGAGAAACAGGCTTTGGAACAAACTTGCATCTTCGTATGCCTAGTTCAGCTTGCTCATGAGACACAGGCTTTGGAATCTGAGGTAGTGTTGTGAAGAATTCTTACAATTAGAAGGACTAATTTGTGAGGAATATTTGAAGAAATTTGAGCTCTACAGCTTAAAAGATGGGGCCTTATGAAGTGAATTGTCTAGAAAGATAACTTAAGCGTACGAGCATCAATCAAAACAGTAAGACAAGAACATATTGAAGAAAACAGTTTAAAATAAAGTTTAGGATTGATATTTAGAAATTTCCCATAGGATGTCTCGCTCACAAATGTGGTAATTGATAGTAAACCCTGGAATTGTGTAGCTTGTGGATGCTGTTTGTTTGCGAGTTGGGGTAGCTGTAAATAAGTATACAGTAAGATGTACCAAATGGTTTTCCTCAATCTTCTCTCATTATGATCATGCAATAGCGGGTATGAATAGTTAATGACCAGGTTGTGGCTAAGGCCTGTTCCAAGGCCAGTTCACTTGACATCAGGCAATGCTTGATGATCATTTGAGAAGAGATACCATTTGGTTAAGAAATGTACAATCGTATTTGAGATTGTCGGTGAAGTGAAATAAGTCATATATTCCTGTACAATATTAATTGAACCTTCTGCATTACAGATTTTTTGACAGACAGAAACTGCATAACAATTTAGAAATGTAATCAGGCTTTGATAGGGTGAATAATTCTAGTAGTGTTAATCATTTGTGAAGATGTTTGATTGTTAACTGTTTTTGGCAAACTACATGTTACATGTGTGTAATATCTAACAATAAACCAGAATGTAGAGTATCATTTTGGATAATCTCAATTTTGACCCCGGGTTTGGAGTTTGACTGTCCAGATTAATGCCGCACAATTATAAAATTTCCTTGTGTTCCTTTGCTTGATTAAATTATATAAATTATTGACTATGTCCCAATGGCCATACTTGCAGCTTCATGTTTATAAATTTGATTACCAGAATTTTTTGTTTAAACTACTTCCGATCTTTCTTCCAGGTGCACTAGCTGAATGGTTGGCCGATCACCCAGTGATGATTAACAGTGTATTGCCATTAGTATTGCATGCTTTGGGCAATGCAGAACTTTCCATATCCAGTGTTTCCACACTGAAGAAGATCTGTAGAGAATGCAAGTATGACCTACCTCCCTATGCTGCTAATATTGTGGCAGTTTCTCAGGTAATGATCATCCAGATTTTATAAGCTACTTTGGAACAGTTAGATGCTGCGTTGATTTACATTTAATGTACTGACTTCTAATGTTCTTTTGAATTCTTATGGTGCCACTTTAAAATGTGAAATCAGGAATTTTGTGTCAGCTGACTGTGCTGTTGAGCTACAATGAAATTGGAAATAAGAACAGAAATTGCTGGAAAAACTCAGCAGGTCTAGCTTTCATCAGTTCTGAAGAACGGTCAGTGGATCTGAAACATTAATTCTACTTTCTGTCTACAGATGCTGCCAGACCTCTTAGTGTTTCCAGCAATTTCTGCTTTTTTTTTCTGATTTCCAGCATCCACAGTCCTTTCGGGGTTTTTGTTTGTACATTGAAATTAGAGTCACCTAGATCATTTTGCCACAAATGCAATAGTTCAAACAGCCTTGATCTGGACCAAATATTTTGTGTTTCTGTTTCTTTGTTTACCTTCTAACATGTGGAAGGAATAGGTGATATTTGGGGCTGGATTTAATGCCCACCCACTGGTTGGTTTGAACTTTAGTGAATGGTGTCCCCACCACCTACCACTGAGTCATTGAAGCCCCATAAGTGGATAATTAATGTCGAGCAGGCAGGTACAGATGGAACCCCCACCTTTCGACCCTCTTTAAGACCTTTTGTCCCTGAGAGGTGGAAGTCCTGCATTTATGCCCATTAACTGCTCTGGCTGTGCACCCTGACCTCTTTAAACGAGAGGAGTTTAGTGGATCCATGGTGTCTCATTATTCAGTATTACTTTGGAGGTTCTTTGCTGACAAAATGTTTGAGAAGATATGTACTTCAGTAATACTGCCAACTTCCTGATGGTGATGAAACAATAGGCCATTGAATAGAGAGAAGACAAAATGTTTATTTTTTCCTCCAGTCCAATCCATTTGTTGCATGATTATGATTATAATATTATTGATCATGGATGTGAAAATAAGAAATAGGTCTTTGTAATGGACTTTGTCAACAAAATTTCCATCCCTTCTGAGCTGGTACCTGTTTTAAGTAGAATCCACAGGAGCTTCTTGTTAATATCCTTATTTTAAAAAAAAACATCAACAGTTTGGGAACTGCAACCTTTCTCTTCACTTAATCATTATTTTATACAATTTCACCTTATTTTCTGATTCATTACTTCATAAAGTTACTGACGCACTTCAGCAAGGTTTAATGGATTGCAATCCCTCTTGTTCACTGAGCCTGTAGGGGCATGTTGGTCAGTAACCCCCAGTAAAACTAAATTAGCTAACTCAACACAACACACAGAATCCAAAATAGTCTCCATAGTATTATGCTACACCATGCAGTACCTTTCTTTGCTTTTTCTTTGTTCTTAATTCACTTCAGAGTGACTGCTACTACATTATGCCGAACTGTCTGACAAACTGAATTAGTGAAATTTATGTATTTTAACTGAGCTGTTACTTCAGGTTTGTTCATGAGATCAGTAGGTCTTTTAAGTCAAAGCCCCAGTTCTAACGTCAACAGTTATTGTTCAAACCAAAAGACATTTCTTTCTAAAAATGCATGCCAATTAATTGTTTTCCTGTATTACTTGTTGCCAATGGATGTGAAATAAGAGAGTGGAAATTGTAAAGGAGGCCCTTCAAGATTAACCTTCAAATCAACTTCCACATCAACTTCACTTTCCTGTCATTCCTTTTAGTGCCCAAGAATCTAAAAATCTTAATCTGGAGTATACTCAGTGGTTGACTAGAAGGTTGCATTCATTCATTTTTACTAACATAAATTTTAGAAACTCTCAGTATAAACATGTTGAATTTGTGACGTTTATTTAGATCTATATTACTGATTAACTCCATTTTATCAGAAGAAGATTTAAACATAAACTGCTATGTGCTAACTTTGTTGTAAAGCTAGATCATTTCTATTCCAAGCAAAATGTATTTTTTAACCTTTTAACTTGTCCTGACCCTTTGTAAAACAAATTGAAGTCTTAGAGAAATTGGAAATACCAATGTCTATGCATGATATTAATAAATTAATTAGAAGGTTTAGAACATAGAACTGTACAGCACAATACAGTCCCTTCGGCCCACTATGTTGTGCCAACCTATTATCCTACTCTACGATCAAACTACCCTGCATGCCCTACATTATACTATCATCCATGTGCCTATCCAAGAGTCGCTTGAATGTCCCTAATGTATCTGACTCCACTACCACCGCTGGCAGCGCATTCCACGCACCCACCACTCTGTGTAAAGGACCTACCTCTGACATCTCCCCTATACCTTCTTCCAATCGCCTTAAAGTTACGCTCCCTCGTAATAGTCATTTCCGCCATGGGAAAAAGTCTCTGGCTATCCACTCATCATCTTGTACGCCTCTATCAAGTCACCTCTCATCCTTCTTTGCTCCAATGTAAAAAGCCCTAGCTCTCTCAACCTTTCCTCATAAGACCTGCCCTCCAGTCCAGGCAGCATCCTGGTAAATCTCCTCTGCACCCTCTCTAAAGCTTCCACATCCTTCCTATAATGAGGCAACCAGAACTGAACACAGTATTCCAAGTGTGGTCTAACCAGGGTTTTATAGAGCTGCAGCATAACCTCACGGCTCTTAAACTCAATGTCCCTGCCAATGAAAGCCAATGCACCATACGGCTTCTTAACAACCCTATCAACTTGGGTAGCAACTTTGAGGGATTTATGGACATGGACTCCAAGATCCCTCTGTTCCTCCACACTGCCGAGAATCCTGCTATTAACCCTGTATTCTGCATTCAGATTCGACCTTCCAAAATGAATCACCTCACATTTTTCTGGGTTGAATTCCATCTGCCACTACTTTGCCCGGCTCTGCATCCTGTCAATGTTCCATTGCAACCTACAACAGCCCTCCGCTGTCCACAACTGCACCAACCTTCATGTCATCGGCAAACTTACTAACCCACCCTTCAACTCCCTCATCCAAGTCATTTATAAAGATCATAAAGAGCAGAGGTCCCAGAACAGACCCATGTGGAACACCACTGATCACCGAGCTCGAGGCTGAATACTTTCCATCTACTACCACCCTCTGTCTTTTATTGGACAGCCAATTCTGTATCCAGACAGCCAAATTTCCCTGAATCCCATGCCTCCTTACTTTCTGCATGAGCCTACCTTAAGTGGGTGCAAACATTATTTTGCATTTGGTTTGTACCCATTTACACATAAATGTATATTATAATTAACTAATTCAGCTGTTTATGCATCCATCAAATATTATTTGCAATTTTATGTTGCATTTAATTTTACGTTCTTCTGGTAATGAGATTTGTTTAGGAATGTCTGAAAATTTTAAAAATGCTGAGAGCAATTGAAAATACAAGTTGTCAATTGACTTTTATAGTTCAAATAATAATCAATTAATATTCAATTTATAATTCAACTTCTCTGTCTACATAATTAAAAGTTTGAAGTATTGCCAAAGCTGGGTAAGTAAATATTATTTCGTGTGTTTTTGCAGGTAGACACGGAGGAATAAAGCACCTACCCATATCCAAGTACAGCTGATTCATTTTGGAATAACAAAATAAATGCTGAAAGTACTTAGTCAAATAGTTATTTTTACACCCAAAGCATTGCCTGTCTTTTTCATCTTGTCGAATGTTGGCAGCCCAGTAATGTTTCCAGCATTTCTGCTATTTTTAAAAGCCCTGAAACTATTCCTCATTTTTGAGTTCTCGAAGTGCCAAATGAAAAAGGGATATATTTTCAGTGAAGGGCTATTAGATTCTGTTTATCAGAAGTGGAATTCACGAATAGTGCTGTGAAAGAGGTTGCAGTTTGGTTGAAACAAGTTGTTAAGCAGGTGCATGTATTTGTGCTCAGTCTGTACCTGTTTCCATAAACACAGATAACGTGTATCAAGTTATTTAAAGCTTTGAAATATATAACTGATGTGAGACCTAGGGTTAAGAGACAGGTCAGCAAACCTGATGTTTTGTTATGGTGTGAGCAAATGATAACCTGGAGTTTCCTTTTGCTGTTGTCTTCCACAGGAGGTTTTAATGAAACAAATTCATAAGGTTAGTTGATTCTTAAAGCTGTTTGACGTTTAACAAAAATAGAAGTAGGGAATATTTAGAATTGCTTTTATACTTTCATTATGTTTGTGTGGACTGTAAAACCTGTTTCATGATAATTGTGCTAAGTCCACTCAATAAGACAAGAATGTGAAGTTAACTAAATATGTGCTTTAGAATTAACATTGAGTTGCCTCAGTATTTTAGCTCAGAAAATAATTTAAGTTAACTTTATGGACTGTATACAAGTAACTTTTTTTTTGTATTTGTATGCAATTAATTTTAATGGAACAGAGGAAAAGGTTTCAACACAAAGCAGGACCATATGATCAGATACTGCATGAGATTCTATAGTTTTAAGATATTCCTGCATATATAAGCTCTAAATATATAATTTCCCTATAATTTACATTTGCGAGTATATTTTTGATAATTTTGTGTAAATATTTCTGAATAATTGATAAAATAGAACATTAGTAGGGCTCATAATTCAGTTCATTGGAGCATTGGACAAAGAGTGACAGAGTTTTTAACCCTGACTAACTTCTTCGAAGAGCTGCTTTATATAACACTTAGTTTTACTGTGGGTGGGTTGTCAAACCTGCCACAAAGTTTTGAAGAGTCAGCACTGATATGTATTTCAAAATGTAGTGGGCCGTCGAAGTTTCCACTTGTTCGTTGTTTGATTTTACTAGTTTTGTTGTGTGCTTTCTTTAAACTCTTATGTTTTTAAATGTGGGCTTTTATTAAAAACAAAGCATTTAAAGTTTTAGCAAAGATTTGTAGCTCGGGTTGTGGGTGAGGTTATTGGCTTGCTCGCCGAGCTGGTTTGTTTTCATTCAGACATTTCATCGCCATGTTAGGTAACATCATCAGTGAGGCCTCCAATGAAGCCATGTTGTTCTACTCCGCTTGGAATTTATACTGTCGTAAATAAAAACCGAAAGAACTGCAGATACTGTAAATCAGGAACAAAAACAAAGTTGCTGGAAAAGCTCAGTAGGTCTGGCAGCATCTGTGAGGGAAAAAACAGTGTTAACGTTTCGGGTCCGATGACCCTTCTTCTGCGTCCCCACCTTAACGAATTTCGGGCACGACATGACGCCAAACTCTTCTTGTGCCGTCTTCGCCATTTACATACTGTCCTGTCTGTTATGGTGAATGGTGTCTTTTCCAGTTTTGTTCTGTATGGGTTTGTATATGGGGTCCAATTCCATATGTTTGTTGATTGCATCATGGGTTGAGAACCATGCCTTTAGGAATTCCCATGCACGTCTGTTTGGCTTGGGCTACGATGGTTACGTTGTCCCAGTTAAACTGATGGCCTTCATTGTCTGAGTGTACGGATATTAAGGAAAGTTCGTTGTGTCGTTTTGCTGCTAGTTGATGTTCATGTATTCTGATGGCTAGTTTCCTTCCTGTCTGTCCAATGTAATGTTTGTGGCAGTTGTTGTGTGGTATTTTGTAAACTATGTTGGTTCTGCATTTTGTGGGAATGGGGTCTTTAATCCTTGAGAGTTTGTCGGAGAGTGGCTGTGGGCTTGTGTGCTACCACGGTTCCTAGTGGTCTTAGGAGTCTTGTTGTCATACGTTCAACTCTGACGTCCAGAAACGAAAGCTGATTGTTGTTTTCTTCTCTCGTGAATTTAATCCCCGCAAATACGTTGTTGATGAGGTGATGGGTCTCTTCTAGCTTGTTGCGTTTTAATAATGACAAATGTGTCGTCCACATACCGGTTCCACAGCTTAGGTTGAATGCGGGGGAGGGTAGTGTGTTCTAGTCTTTGCATGACTGCCTCTGTGGTGAGTGACCCCATGGGTGTGCCGTTGATCTGTTTGAATACTTGACCATTAAAGACGAAGTGTGTGGTGAGGCACAAGTCTAGTAGTTTGAGTATGTTGTCATTGCTGATGGAGCTGCTGGTCTGCGTTCCTGCTTCCTCTAGTAATGCGGCCAATGTTTCTTTGGCTAGTGGGATGTCAATAGACATGAATAATACTGTGACATCAAAGGATACCATAAAAATCAGCGACGACAAGATTATGTTCTTGAGGGTTTTGAGGAATTCTTGGGTTGATTTGAATGGCATGGGATGATCCGTCGACTAGGTGTTTCAGTCTCTGTTGTAGGTCCTTGGTCAGTTTGTGTGAAGGTGTGCCTGTTAGACCAATTGGTCTGAGGGGGATGTCTGGTTTGTGTACTTCAGGAAGTCCGTAGAACTGGGGGATATTCATACCTTCTGGTTTCATTCTCGTGTAGTCCGTCTTGGCTATCTGTCCTGCATCGTTTCAGTCTTTTCGGTGTCTGGGTGATCCTATTGCCTAGCTGCGGTGTTGGGTCTATCGCCACCTGTTGGTAAGTGTTTGTATCTGCGAGCAATGCTTGTGCTTTCTTGACATAGTCCGGTATTTTCATGTGCCCTTTGTCCGCTGGTAGGATTATGATGTTCTTGTCTTTCTTGAGCTTATCTAGTGCTTTTCTCTGTGTTCACGGTGTCCCATTCATTCCTTCAGTTTAGAGTGGGGATTATAGTTTGTCGGATGGTTTAAATAAAAACTGAAAGAACTGCGGATGCTGTAAATCAGGAACAAAAACAAAGTTGCTGGAAAAGCTCAGCAGGTCTGGCAGCATCTGTGAAGGAAAAAACAGTAAACATTTTGAGTCCGGTGACCCTTCCTCAGAATTTCTGTTAACTCTGTTTTTTCCTTCACAGATGCTGCCAGACCTGCTGAGCTTTTCCAGCAACTTTGTTTTTGTCAGATGGCTTGTTGTGTTTCATCCGTGAGTCTGTTGTCTTTTAATGTAGTCTCCAGGGCGGCCATGAAGTCTGTTCTGTTCGCATCTTTGTGATTATAGTTCAGTCCGTGTAATAGGACAGCTTTCTTAGTTTTTTGTGAGTCGTTTGCTGGATAGGTTTCATACCTATGTCCGGTTTGTTGTTGTCCTTGTCTTTGTGGTGGATCAGTTTGGTGAGTTTCTCCTGTAGCTTGTATCTCCTCTTAGTTTTGGTCCTGTGTTGATTGATGGTGATGGCCCATTCTAGGGTTGTTGTCCACTGCTGGCCTATAGTATTTAGGTACTGTGATTTTTGGTGCGAAATTTCCCGTTCATACAAGTACGACCCACCACCTCATCAACAACGTATTCACGGGGATTAAATTCACGAGAGAAGAAGAGAGCCACAATCGGCTTCTGTTTCTGGACATCAGAGCTGAACGTATGACCAATGGGGAGTTCCAAACTTCAGTATGCAAGGAGGCAACCCACATTGACCAAATCCTCAACTTTCACAGCAACCACCCCAACATCTACAAACAAAACTGTAATAGGACACTATTTAAATGGGCTAACACTCACTGCAACACTCCAGAACAATGCAGGAAAGAGAAAGAGCACCTATAGAAAATCTTCGTTATGAATGGATATCCCTGCAACTTCATCCACAGGTGCCTACTAAACAGACAGCAAGAGGACACTACGCCCTAACACTCTGGTCACACTGCCCTACATCAAGAACATATCAGAACTGACAACGAGACTCCTAAGACCATTAGGAATCATGGTAGCGCACAAGCCCACAGCCACTCTACGACAAATACTGTCAAGGATTAAAGACCCCATTCCTGCAACATGCAGAACCAACGTAGTTTACAAAATACCATGCACCAACTTCCACAAACCTTACATCAGGCAGACTAGCCATCAGAATACACGACCGTTGGCTAGCAGCAAAACAACACGACGAACTTTCCTTAATATCGGTACACTCAAACAATGAAGGCTATCAGTTTAACTGGGACAACGTAACTACAGTAGCCCAAGCCAAACACAGACACGCATGGGATTTCCTAGATTCTCAACCCGTAATGCAATCATCAAACATATAGAATTGGACCCCATATACAAACCCATACAGAACAAAACTGGAAATGACACCACTCCCCAAAATGGACCGGACAGTATAAATTCCAAGTGAGTAGAAAACATCACTTCGTTGGAGGCCTCACTGATGATGTTGCCTAGCATGGTGATGAAACGTCTGAATGAAAACAAACCAGCTCGGCCAGCAAGTCAACAAGTTCGTACAAAGCACTTGTCAAGATGTTCTAATCTCACTGCTTTCATTTTTATTTGGTACTGCAAAAATTATATTTTATTTTGAAAATCTTCAAACTTTATTATCTGTTTTTCTTCACTGAGTTTTTTTTATTTCTCTTCCTCTTTCTCAGACAAGTCAGTGTATGTGGCTGATGCAGGCTCTGGGATTCTTGCTCTCTGCCCTCCAGGTGGAGGAAATCCTTAGGAACCTGCATTCCCTCATCAGCCCCTACATTCAGCAGCTGGAGAAACTTGCTGATGAGCCGGTATGTACGATGAAAAGCCAGCAATATCATCATATGGCCTGAAACCAATACTTCAGGATTGCGTGACTTTTTTTTATATACTTCATTTGTTTTTGTCTCAGATCCAATTATTTATTTTCACCCTATTTATCTTAAATACAGTGAGTTTTTTTTTATGTTTAACGCTGATCTCAAAGCATCGTGTTAATCTGCTAATTTAAATTCCAACAGCACAAAATTTCAAAAAAAAAAGACACCAGTACATACACTTGTACAATATTCATTTTGCACTAATCAATTTACAGTTATTGCAAGCTGCTCACCTGTGTGCAGGTGAATTTGACGCTAGTTTAATATTAAAATTTTTCTAAAATTTACAACACTAACATTGTGATTAAATTGCGTTTTATTATTTCACTGCATTCTGCAAAGAATTGTATTTCATAAGTGGCAACGTTTCCAATTCTTAGAGCAAGCTTGCTTTTAAAATTCAAGTTGGTTATTGTTTCCTGAACAACTTAATTCCAGGATGGAAAGACTAGGAAAGGAGGCGCAATCCATTGAAATTCCAATGTTGGATCACCCAGTTTAGAAATAAACTGAATTTTGAACATGTCAGTTGCTTGTTCTGCTACACTGAATGATAGATTACCTCGGATGTGTATCGCTCGTGTAAAAAAAAAAGCAAATCATAATGTTTTATTGTTACTTTCCATAAATCTCTGTGATGCCTTCTGAGCTATCTTCCTTTTACTGTTTAAAACTCTGCCAGTGTTTTCCTCTTTCCTCTCACCTCTCCCATTTAGCTGGTTTGTTGCTTACCTGTGCAGCCATAGTTTTTATCCATTCTTTTAGAGTTAGAGATTTACAGCATGGAAGCAAACCCCTCAGTTCAACTTGTCCATGCTGATCAGATATCCTAAATAAATCCGGTCCCATTTGCCAACATTTGGCCCATATTCCTCTGAAACCCTTCCTATTCATATACCCATCCAGATGCCTTTTAAATATTATAATTGTACCTGCATCCATCATTTCCTCTGGCAGGCCATTTCGTATATGCACCGCTTTCTGCATGAAAAAGTTGCCCCTTAGATTCCTTTTAAATCTTTCCCTTCTCATCTTAAACCCATGCCCTCTAGTTTTGGACTCCCCCACTCCAGGGACGTGACCTTGTCTATTTACCCTATCCATTCCCCTCATAATTTTATAACCCTCTATAAGGTCACCCTTCAGTCGCCGATGGTCCAGGGAAAATAGGTCCAGCCTATTCAGTCTCTCCCTAAAGCTCAAACCCTCCAGCCCTGGCAACATCCGTGTAAATCTTTTCTGAACCTTTCAACATCCTTCCTATAACAGGGAGACCAGAATTGGATGCAGTATTCTAATAGTAGCCTAACCAATGTCCTGTGCAGCTGCAACACGACCTCCCAACTCCTTTACGCAATGCACAGACCAAGAAAGGCAAGCATACCAAACGGCGGCTTCATTATCCTATGTACCTGCAACTTCAGTTTCAAGGAACGATGAACCTGCACTCCAAGGTCAATATGTTTAGCAAAACTCCCTGGAATCTTACCATTAAGTGTATAAGTCCTGCCCTCATTTACCTTCCCAAAATGCAGCACCTCACATTTATCTAAATTAAACTCCCATCTGCCACTCCTCGGCCCATTAGCCCATCTGATCAAAATCTGTTGTACTCCGAGGTAATTTCCTTCACTCCACTACCACCACCAGTTTTGCAAACTTAGTTACCATACCTTCTATGTTTACATCCAAATCATTTATATGAATGACAAAAAGCAGTGGACCTAGCACTTATCCTTGCGGCACACGTCTGGTCACAGGCCTCCAGTCTGAAAAGCAGCCGTCCACCACCACTCTGCCTCCTACCTTCAAGTCAGTTCTGTATCTGAATAGCTACATCGCCCACTATTCCGTGCAATCTAACCTTGCTAACCAGTCTACCACGAGGAACCTTGTTGAACACCTTACTGAACTCCATTTAGATCACATCCACCACACTGCCCTCATCAATCCTCTTTGTTACTACTTCAAAAAGTTAAGATAGTGAGACACGATTTGCCACACACAAAGCCATGTTGACTATCCCTAACCAGTCTTTGCCTTTCCAAATACATGTAAATCCTGTCCCTTGGGATTCGCTCCATCAACTTGCCCACCACTGATGTCAAGCTCACCAGTCTATAGTTCCCTGGCTTTTCCTTACCACCTTTTCTTAAATAGTGGCACCACATTAGCCAACCTCCAGTCTTTGGGCACCTCACCTGTGGCTGTCTCAGCAAGGGGTGCAGCAATCACTTCCCTAGCTAACTCTGTACTAGAGTTCTAGGGTACACCTGCAGGTCCTGGGGATTTATCCAACTTTATGCATTTTAAGACATTTAGCACCTCCTCCTCTGTAATATGGACATTTTTCAAGATGTTGCTGTTTATTTCCCCACGTTCTATATCTTCCATATCTTTCTCCACAGTAAACACTGATGCAAAATACCAGTTTTGAGGAAGGGCCACTGGACCCAAAATGTTAACTGTAATTTTTCTTTGCAGTTGCTGCCAGACCTGCTGAGCTTTTCCAGCAACTTCTGTTTTTGGTGCAAAATACTCGTTTAGTATCTTCCCCCATCTCCTGTGGTTCAACATATAGGCGGCCTTGCTGATCTTTAAGGGGCCCTGTTCTCTCCTGAGTAACCCCTTTTGTCCTTAATGTATTTGCAGAATCCCTTTGGATTCTCCTTAACCTTATTTGCCAAAGCTGTCTCCTGTCCCATTTTTGCCCTCCTGATTTCCGTTTTCAGTGTACTCCTAACATTGCCTTTATTCTCTTTTAGGGATTCACTCGATTTCTGCTGCCTATACCTGACATATGCTTCCTTCTTTTTCTTGATCAACACCTCGGTTTCTCTAGTCATCCAGCATTCACTGCGCCTACCGGCCTTGCTCTTTACTCCATCAGGAATATACTGTATCTGGACTCTTGTTATCTCATTTTTGAAGGCTTCCCATTTTCTAGCCATCCTTTTACCTGTGAACTTCCGCCCCCAGTCAACTTTTGAAAGTCCTTGCCTAAGACTACCAAATTGACTTTCCTCCAATTTAGAACTTTAACTTTTAGGTCTGGTCTATCCTTCTCCATCACTGTATTTTAAAACTAATAGAATTATGGTCATTGGCCCCAAAGTGATCCCCCACTGACACCTCAGTCACCTGCCCTGTCTTATTTCCCAAGAATAGGTCAAGTTTTGCACTTTCTCCAATAGTTACATCCACATACTGAATCAGAAAAATTTCTTGTATGTAATTAACAAATTTCTCTCTATCTGAGCCCTTAAAACTATGGCAGTCCCAGTCTGTGTTTGGAAAGTTAAAATCCCGTACATAACCATTGTATTATTCTTACAAGTTTGTTTCTCAATTTCCCACTGATTATTTGGGGGTCTACAGTACAATCCCAATAAGGTGATCATCCCTTTCTTATTTCTCAGTTCCACCCAAATAAGTTCCCTGGACGTATTCCCAGGAACATCCTCCCTAAGTACAGCCGTAATGTTCTCCCTAATCAAAAACACCACCACCACCCACCACCCACCCCGTTGGGTCCTCCCTATAATATCTGTACCCTGGAACATTAAGCTACCGGTTCTGTCCATCCCTAAGCCATGTCTCTTTAGTTGCTATGATATCCCAGTCCTTTGTTCCCAACCATACCCTGGGTTCATCTACTTTACCGCTTCGGCCTCTTGCATTGAAATAAATGCAGTTTAATTTATCAGTCCTACCTCATTCTCTTCGTTCCTGCCTGCCTTGTCTGTTTGACCTACTCCATTTCCCAATTATACCAGTCTCGGACTGATTTCTTTCCTCACTATCTCCCCTGCGTGCCTCCCCCACCCAGTTTAAATCCTTCCGAGCAGCTCTGGTACATCTCCCCGTCAATATATTAGTCCGGTTCCAACTCACGTGCAATCCGTCGTCCTTATACAAGTCACTTCTACACCGGAAAAGATTCCAACATGCAAAAAAGTGAATCCTTCTCCCCTGAACCAGCTCTTCAGCCACACATTCATCTGCTCTACCTCCTATTCCTACCCTCACTTGCTCATGACACCACAAGTAATTCAGATATTACTACCCTCGAACCTACTTTTTAAGTTCCTGCCTAACTTCCTACATTGTCTCCTCAGAATCTCATCCTTTTCTCTTCCTGTGTTGTTACTTCCAGTGTGTACAGTGACCTCTTGCTGGTCCCTCTCCCCTTTGGGAATATTCTGCACCTTCTCCAAGATTGCTTTGATCCTGGCTCAAAGGAGGCAGCACGCCATTCTGATGTCTCACTGTTGGCTGCAAAATTGTCTTTCTATGCCGCTGACTAGAGAGTCCCCTATCACAATCAATGGCTTGGAACCTGGCGTACCCTTGTTACATTAGAGCCAGTCTCGGTCCCAGAAATCTGGCTGTCAGTGCTACATTCCCCTGAGATTCCATAACCCCCTACATTTTCCAAAACAGCATACTTGTTTGAGATGGGGATAGCCGCAGGAGACTCCAACACAACCTGCCTCCCTCTCCTACCTTTCCTGCAGGTCACCCATCTACCTGACTGTATCTTTGGTTTATCTCCATTTCTGCAACTGCCATCCATCACACCTCCTAGCACCTATAAATTCCTCGTCATCCCTAACTGCAGCTCCAACTGATCTATGTGATCTGATAGGATTCGCAACCACACTTCCTGCGGACATAATTGTCACAACATGGAAATTCTCCCTAATCTCGCACATCTGACAGGAAGAGCGCTCAAGGCTATCTTTGCAGCTTAACAATCTACACACCCAGAAAATAGCAGTCTTACTGCTCTAAAAACGCTGTTCCAGGCTTGCTTGCTACCTATGATTTTACATTTTTAAAGTTTAATCAAGAGACAGATCTCAATAAAAACATATAATCAAAAAAGAGCCCAATCTGTTCACTAATGTAGATTTGCAAAAGAAAAACAG